CACCTGTGCATCTATGTATATGAAGACACGTACATAGTTGGGTTTGCCTAAACACAAAATCTGTTGTGCTAAAATTCCATTTCTGATGTAAACAAGTAAAATTTCTCCATGGGGCATTGTAGGGGCCACTGAGATCACACCGTGTTCAGAGATCAGCATCTCTCTCTCTCCTTTCTTCCTATTCTTCTAAATATCAACTGACTGCAAAGAATGCAGCTCTAAGAAGTCCCTGGTCCATGGCATGCCTGCTCTTTATTTTAAACCCCCTTAATACATCCTTCTCATACCCAGTGCCCTCCGGTATTCTAAGGCCTTTGTTGCATAAGCAATTTCTCTATTCCATGGTGGCTTATCTGACAGTTTCCCATTTACCTTCTACTTATTACCGCACTCGACTTTGAATTTTAAAACCCCACTGTGGGTTTAAAGGATCTTGAAGGACGAAATCAGAAACCTAGATTAGCAATTACTATAAAGCTGCAAGAAAGTAAGATATTTTTTTTCCTATTTGGGCCAAAGCAAGGACTTGAGGCTCGAGTGTAATCCAAATGCATCATATAATGAAGCTGATATCCTGGGAAAGTGTCTTTATCTTTCACTCACTCTCTGCCTGACTTCACCATTTCATTCTCACTAACCGGATAGATCCCTAGGATGATTCTTTTTTATCTGAATTCTGGGGAAATACTCCGACATTAAGCCTCATTTAGGTGGAATGGAAATGCATTTTTTTGCTGCCTTCCCTCTTGTCTCCTTTTCTCAGCTTTAATTGAAAGCCACAGCGCCAGGCTCCATGCCATACTACCTGAGCCTCTGTGCCCGGGAGCTCTCTGCCCCAGGCGGAGACCACCTGTGTTAGTCCTGACAGTGGGGAGAATGGCTCTTGGCTCTGAACCTCAGGGGGAGAAAGAGGCAGCTGCTGATGAAACTCGGGGTGTGTCAGCAATGGGCTGGCTTGGATGTGCTTGCCCTCGCTCCCTGGGATGTCCTGGGGTCCCCAGGGGCCCCTCTGCCTCCCCCTCTCTGCCAGTCCGATGTGTGTGCTGAGGACTGGGCTCAGTTCTGCTCAGCAAGGCTGCCCTTCGTAGTTCATTTTGGCCATACATCACCACAGCAGCTTACACTATATAAAGTGTGCCACCTGCCAAGCACTGTCCTGGACATTTGCTACCTAATAATTCATTTACTCTTCACAACAAACCTATGAAATAAATACTACTCTTCTCCCATGTTACAGATGAGGACACTGAGGCCCCACGAAGTGAGACAACTTGGCCAACCTCACATAGCTGGTTGACGGTGGAGTCAGTGTACAGAGTCAGGCAACCTAGCTACGGAAGCAGTGCCCTTAGCCACCGGGCCACACTGCCTGGGCACTGATTCTTCTAGGTGCTGTGCCGAGTACACACACACATATTTTCACATGGTCTTCTCTCCAGGGGGGCATTGCTATTGCATTTTTATAAGATGCATATCCAAATCACAGAGCTAGTGAGTGCAGGAGTTCAACAATTGTATTTCCTTCTTCAATGGGCATTAATTGAGTATCTACTACTAGAGGCCCGATGCACAAAATTTGTGCAAGAGTAGGCCTTCACAGCCACGGCGGCTGCCTGGATCCGTCCCTAGCAGCTGCGGCTGCCTCCATCCAAGCTGCAGCCCCGGCTTCGTCCAGAAGGACATTCCTGGACAGATGTCCGGAAGGACGTCTGGTCTAATTAGCATATTACGCTTTTATTATTATAGATGTCTTGTGCTCACTGCCAATGATATAATGGTGAGAACAGACATGGTTGCTACTATCACAAAGCTCTCAGTGGGGGAGGCAGACATTTGTCAAATGATTCCACAGCCCAGCTGGCATGGCTCAGTGGTTGAGCATCAACCTATGAACCAGAGGTCACTGTTCAATTACCAGTCAGGGTACATGCCCAAGTTGTAGGCTCGATTCCCAGTGTGGGACATGCAGGAGGCAGCCAATCAATGATTCTCATCATTGATGTTTCTATCTCTATCTCCCTCTCCCTTCCTCTCTGAAATCAATAAAAATACATTTTAAAAAATGATTCCACAAAGAAATGACATTGTTGCAAACTTGGGTGAGAAGACAGAACACAAGGACCCAGTGCAGGGTGTCTGACCAGCCAGGGGTGGGCTGGGCATGTGGCGGGGGCTGTGCTCAGCACATCCATCCCGTGGGACCCACCCAGGGGAAGCCAGGTGGTAACAAGGTGGGGTGTTGGGGTGCAGCAGGGAAAATATTATCAACCAAGGAGCAAGGTGTGCACGGGCCTGGCAGTGGAGGAAGCGAGGTGAGTGTGGAGCTGCAATAGGTCAGCGTGGCTAGGATGCCCAGGGCGAGGGGAGGGGCTCAGGGGTGGCCAGAAATGAGGCAGAAATGAGAAGCTGCGGCTCCTCTGGCCCTAAAGCGACACTTTAACCCAGACTCTTCCACCGACCGCACTATGACAGCCGGTTCTTAGCAGCAATTTTTCCTTTTCTTGTTTCATGAAACACTTGATAAAAGCATGTTTTCCAAATCTCAGAAACACGGCTTGTCGCAGGCAGGCATACTTTCCATGCCCCTGTGATTTACCGCTAACATGCTCCGTCCGGGCCCTGTTTGCGAAGATCGACGCAGGTGAAAACCCTTGTAAACAGTGGCGTGCTTTCCACCCCGCTGTTATCGCCCTTAATAACGAGCTCGTGGGGATGATGCATGCGTCTCCTGCAGGAGTTAATGTATGTAAAGTGCTCAGAACGGTGCCTGGCTCCGGGGAAACAACGGTACGAGCGTGAAGTATTGTTTTCAGCGTGCACCTCGCTTTATCGTGCCCCCAGGCGCGGACTGAACGAGGACGCCCATCATGCAGCCTGTTTGACGTGTCCTGCCCCTCTTCTCTTCCAGGCCAGAACAAGATCTGCTTCATCCCGGGCATGGTCGGCCCTATACTAGAGATGACACTCATCCCGGAGGCCGAGCTCCGCAAAGCCACCATCCCCATCTTCTTCGACATGATGCTGTGTGAATATCAAAAGAGTGGGGATTTCAAAAAGGTAAAAAAACGAGGCTGGAAACTCAGCCAGCATTCCTAATCCCCCGCGCATTTCCTCATCATGCTCCCTCCTTCCATCTGCCCTGCTCCATCCGAGGCCTGACGGGAGGCAGGGGGGGACAGCGCTCCGCGCCCGGAATGAGCTGGCAGATCGGATTTGGTCTGTATTTTGTCACGCTCTCCTGCCCGAGGCCAAGATTAAAATGTGCTTTCTTGCTGTGCATGCGCTGGGTCCCTTTCTCAATCGTGTGAGAATCCTGCTTCCCTGCCTTAGTGTTCCCCAAGGTGTACCCAAAGGCTCCCCTCCCCCTACCCGTCTCACACCTGCCTGCCTCTGTCTGGCGCTTCCTCTACCTGGATGACTCCGAAGATCTGTATTGTCTAGATTCTAGAAAGAGAGACCCTGCCTGGTGTTGCCCTCGGCCATGCACCAAAGGCTGATGGGGTCAGAGGTCTGTCGCTCAGGGGGCACCCGTGGACCCCCCATGGAATGGGTGGCTTCCCCAGCAAGCAGGGAGTGAGCAGCTGTGTAAGGCCAGGTCACGGGGCCAGTGTTTTCAGTGACAATCCTGCCAAACTTGAAGGGGGACCACGTTCTGGGCCCAGCCACTCTAGAAGCTTCTGACAGTGGGATACGCACCCACTTCCATAGGAGGTTCACGCAGTGTAGGGAGGCTGGCCTCTCAGGCCCGGCGAGGCTGCTTTGGTGGTGCCCTCAGGTCTCACCCTCTTGTCCTCCCTGCCCCACCTTCTCTCCTGCATTTACCCCCAACTGGGCTCCTCCCCTTCTCCCCAGAATTTCTGCCCCATTCTATACCATGTCTTGCCCCCAGATAATTTTTCTCAAAATGGGTACTTAAAGGGCAGCAGATTCCAAACAGTTTTTCCTAAAATCCCTCAGGCATCTGCCCCCCCCCCCCCCCCCCGGCTCATTGGTTCTCTAACCCTCAGCCGGCATTCAGGGCCCTCCTTGTCCGACCTCCGTTAAGCTCTCCAGCCTTTTCTCATGCCTTGTGCCCTTCACACGTCCCCTCAAAGGTGTGGGCACCAGCTGGCTCAGGAGGTGGCCTGGGACAGGTGTGCGATGGTCCTGGAGAGGGACGAGCTCCAGGCCTTTCGGGGTTAGGCCCAGACAGGTGCTTGTGGCCTCGTGTCCTCAGAGGCTGGCCCGCAAAGTGATTTTCCTGCCCTAAAGGATTTCCTTACTGTGACAGCCCCGTGACGGGCACCCCCCTGTTTTCTATGCACGGGGTCAGCCTTGGGCTCCTCGTTCCGGGCGTGTGCTCATTCTAAGCATGTTCCCCAATTGCTTCTCTTCATTCCTCTCTTATCAAAAGAGACAGGACAATCAGGCTGACTAATGGGGCAGCTTCCCGGTGGACAGCAGCTGCTGCGCTTGGTGGTTGCTCAACTGTGGGATGAGCAGCCCTGGCATGGCTGTTTGATTCAGAGGAAGTAGCCCAGGAAAGGGTGGAGGCAACTGGATCCAGGATGAACCCCAGAACTGGGGTCTGAAATCCAGACGGCCTCGTCACCTGGCTCCGCACCGCCTGCCCCCCGCCACCCTGTAATTTCCCTCCCAGCAGGCACTTCTGTGACGCCCAGTCAAGTGCTTATTTACCCATCCACACCTCTGCTCCAAAGGAGAGTTCATCTCCCGAGGAATCATGCCAGCATCCACCACTGAGCAACTCAGACAAGAAAAATGCTGCTTTTCTCTCCAAAGTTGCTTTCCAGGACGGCTCAGCAGGCGTAACAATAACCTCAGCCATCATCGCCAGAGGACAGAGGCCGGCACGGTGCACACCGGCCCTGCGCTCCCGAGGCTTTGCACATGCCATCTCCCTGCCCACTAACCGCCCGGGCTATAGTGCCCCATTGTATTTATAGGGGATGACACGCTGTGGCCCCGCAGGGCAGATCTGTCTGCTTTATAAACCACGGTTTATGGAATCCAGGGTTTATGGAATCCAGCCATCCCTAAGTGTACGGACCATTTAAGGCTGCTTTTGGGCCACAACAGCTGAGGTGAATAGGTGGGGCAGACCAACCAGCAAAGCCTGAAATATTTACTCTCTGGCCCTTTGCAGAGAATGTTTGCTGAGCCCTGGTTCAAACTATGACTGAGGATTAGAAAGACCTACTCCTTTTCCTCCAGTGGTGGAGGAAATGGAGGAGGCAAAGCCAGATGGCCTGACCTCAGAGCCCACTCCTGCGGTCCCTCGGCTGTATTTCGTCCTGCCCCAGTCTCAGCACAGTTTACATCTCTAATCAGGAGGGCCCCGCCCCTGACTCTCTGTTCTCTCTCTCCCTTTCCCCTTCTCTCTCTCATGTCCTCTGTGCTACAGCCCTTACCATCTACCTTCTCTCTTCACTCACTGGGAACTCCCAAAAGGCACACATAATATCCTGTTTCATTCTGCGTTCCCAGGTCCAGCCCTAAACCTGGGAGGTGATGGGTCCTCCCTAACCTTTTGGTTAAAATAATGAACTAATTTCAACTTCCATCCTCCTAACGATGTGATTGTTGATTTTCATCTCTGCCTTCTTCAGTTTGAAAACGAAATCATCCTCAAGCTGGACCACGAGGTGGAAGGCGGCCGAGGGGATGAGCAGTACATGCAGCTGCTGGAGTCCATGTGAGTTCAGTGCCCAGGGCTGCAGGGCTCTGTCCTCCCCCGGAGGCCAGCCTGGAGGCTCAGGGGCACGGAGGAAACTCCCGTGTGGGGAGAAACCTCACACCCCTCGCTGGCGTGGCCACTGCTTTGATGGTGATCGAATGGGAGAGATAGAAAGACACTTTGCTGTGGGGAAGAGGGAACTAGTCTACCCACACGTTAATCTTCATGATCTTGGCTGTGGAATGATTCTCGCTGTTCTCCTGTCTTCCTTTTCAATCGATGACAGATATTGATCACGAGCATCACGTCCGCACACATGCAGTGCTCGGAGGCCATGCTCAGCACCCTGCCTGCATTGGCTCGTTTAGGCGAGTTTACTCTTTGGTCCCTACTTCACAGAGGGGGCCCTGAGGCTCAGGAAATCTCTTGTCCAAGGGAATGAGGACAAGTCATTGAGTGGACAAGCTGGGACCCACACCTGGCCCTGCCTGACCCAGCCGTAGACAGGGCACAGCGCCCAGGAGCACTGGACTTGGAGACAAGTAATTGTTTTGTTTTGTTTTAGCAGCTTATAATTTGCACACCATACAAGTCACCTAAAGTGTATAATTCAATGGCTTTTAGTATATTCTCAGAGCTGTGCAACCTTGACCGCAATCAATTTTAGAACCTTTTTGTTACCTCCTGAAAGAAACCCTTACCACTTACCCGTTAGCCATCATCTCCCTCCCGTATGCCTAGTTCCTGCCTCTATAGAGCTGTCTGTTCTGGCGATTTTGTATAAATGGAGTTATGCAATATGTGGTCCTTTTGACGGGCTTCTTTCACATAGCATGTTTTCAAGGTTCATCTGTGCTATAGCATGTGTCAGTAATTCACTTTTTTTTTTTCCAAATAATATTCCACTGTTTGGCTATACCCCATTTAGTTTATTCATTCATGTGTCGATGAACATTCATTCATTTCCACTTGTTGGCTATTAGGAATGATGCCACTACGAGCATTCATGCACAGGGTTTGTGTAGACATGTTTGCTGTTCTCTTGGGAGGACACCTAGGAGTGGATTTGCTGGGTCGTGTGGGAATCGACATGTAACCTTTTGAGGAACCATCAGACTCTTCCCCAGTGGCTGCACCACTCACTCTCCCACCAGCCGTGCATGAGGCTCCCATTTCTCCACAACCTCCTCAACACGCATTAATGTGGGTCTGGCTGACCACAGCAGTCCTAGCGGGTGTGAGGTGTTGATTTGTATTTCCTTGGTTGCTGAGGCTATGGGGCAACTTTTCATGTGCATATTGTCCATGTGCGTATCTTTGGAGAAAGACACGGGGTTTTATCCCTGGTTCCATCTCTTGGCAGCTGCAGGGCATTGGGCCCCGCCTGCAACATCTTTGGCTTATTTTCCCCATCTGTGCAATGGGGAGAATAAGCCCCCTGTGGTTACTTTGAAAACAGAATAACTATAAAGCACTTGGCACACAACAGGTAAAAAGCTCAATAAATGCACTCTCAGTTTCTGTCATGGTAGTTGCTACCTTCCTACCTCCCACCCCCAAGAATTCTTCCCTGGTTTAGGAATGGGACTCAGACATCCCAAATGTCCCCCTAATTGTAGATTCTTTGATTTGTATTATTATCTGATAGAACTCTAATTTTGGATGCTTCCTCCAATCTTCTTTGAGTATTTTAACTTTAACAACAAAAGCAAACCGAAGGCCTTGCTTTAACCCTCACAAGGACCCTTCTGGCCCCACCAAGCAGGCAGAATGGAGCCCCAGGTAGCAGCATCCCAGCGGGCCCCACCGCCTCCTGTCCCTGCACAGCCCTCACTAAACACCTAGAGCACAAAAGCCGCTGTGTCCAAGGAGTAGCCTACCACCTGCTCTTCGGTGGGTATTGAGGCTGATTCTCGGGGGGGCGGGGGGGATGACATTTTGCCTGAGTCAATGTTTTCCTTAAAGTTCAGAAAAGGAAAATCTAAATATTGACCAGAAGTGAAAGCACATATACTGCTGGCAATTTCCATTTTTATGAGCGGATGGGCCCTGTGGCAGTCTTCAGATGATCAGCGGGATTTTCAAATCCTTCCTGAGTGAATATTTATAAAAGGAACCCTCAGAGGCTGAGGAAATGAGAAGCAGCTCATTATTTTTCTCCTAAGTCAGAGGTGTGAATGATTTTTACAAAACCAATAAAGGCGAGCCCGAGGAGCCAGGACCCCATGGGACGTCCAGCGGCCCAGCCCCTGCTTCTTCCTTTGAACTCTCTCAGCCTCAGTGTCCTTATCTGCACAGTGGGGATAAACTCACAGTCCAGAGTGATCTTAGAGTTTTTGTTGAGATAACCAAGAAAAGTCATGTAAAAATGCTTGGCTCCTAGATAGTCCAGAAATATTAACTATCATTATTATTCATCTCCAGGTGGATAGTGATGGGGTCATTTGAAGCTACGAGCCCACCTGTCTTTCTCCTCTAGGCTAGTCATCCTCACTGCCACCAGCCCGTCCACATCTCTTAAAGTGACAGTCCCACATTAAAGTTAGAAGTGAGATGTTCTCTGCTCTCCTGTATTCCATCTGCTTGAGAAGCCTATCTAATAAAGAGGGGATATGCTAATTGACCCTCATGTCATCACAAAGATGGTGGCACCCACAGCCAATAAGGAGAGAATATGCTAATTGATGCCCCGCCCTCAAAGATGGTGGCGCCCACAACCAATAAGGAGGGAATATGCTAATTGCTGCCCTGCCCTCAAAGATGGTGGCGCCCACAGCCACAAGATGGCTGTCAGGGGAGGGCAGTTAGGGGTGACCAGGACAGCAGGGGAGGGTAGTTAGGGGTGACAGGGCCTACAGGGGAGGAAGAGCAGTTGGGGGGGCCTACAGGGGAGGGAGAGCAGTTGGGGGTGACCAGGTCTGAAGGGGAGGTCAGTTGGGGACAATTGGGCCAGCAGGGGAGCAGTTAGGCGTTGATCAGGTTGGCAGGGGAGTGGTTAGGGGGTGATCAGGCTGGCAGGCAGAAGCAGTTAGGGGCAATCAGGCAGGCAGGCAGCTGAGTGGTTGGGAGCTAGCAGTCCTGGATTGTGAGAGGGTGTCCCAGTTTGGAGAGGGTGCAAGCTGGGCTGAGGGACACCCCCCTCAGTGCATGAATTTTGTGCACCAGGCCTCTAGTATTTCTAGAAGTAGGGAAGCGTGGAAGGCTAAAGAAGACAGAAAATGTGTGTTCTGGGGCCTGGGGCCCACCCAACTAGTTCCACACATAGCCTTGAAAGGAGCAGTGACAGTCGGCTCTGTCAGTGCAGCTGAAGGGCATGGGCCGGGTTCCTGCTTCTGAGGGCCTTCCATGCGGAATGACAACCAATTTGAAGTGCAGTTCCCCCCAGCCCCCCAAGGCAGGCATAGACACCACCACCCTCCTTCCACGGAGTGAGGAATTACCTATGCTGCCTGGAGATTTCCACAGCTTTCTCACTGTCACTTCTTCTCCCCTGTGGGCCTCAAAGGGGAGGAACAGCTGAGTAACCTTGGCAGGGCCGGGATCCAAGCCCAGCCCCAGGGGCCTCGTCTGTAAATGCAGGGCTTTCATAATGCCTACCCAAGGAGATTTTGTGAGTATTAAACAAGGGAATCAATAAAGCGGGCTTAGCACAGCCTCTGGAACACAGGAAGTACTCAGTACATGGTAGTGCCATGATATATTATGGTACGTTTTTATTTCTGTATCTGCTTCCTTTGCTAGATATTTCAGGGGTCAGTGACTCCAGAGTTTCTAGAACAGTACATTTAGTGGATGGATGCATGGTGGGTGGATGGATGGTGAATGGATGGATGATTTCAAACCAATCTGCCATTCATCTCACATTCCTAGGCCATATGAGCAGCTTTCTTACCTCTTGCCTAAAGAATAGAGAAACGAAGAAAGCCAAGACTTTGTTCTCCTAAACCTTTGCTTCTCAAAGTACCAGCAGTATCAGCCTCACCTGGGATCCTGTTAGAAATGCAGACTCTTGAGCGCTAGCCAGACCTGTGGAGTCAGAATCGATTAGCACAGTGCCCAGGTGTTCCCACACATATTGAAGTTTGCAAAGCAGGGGACGAAGCCAGTGGTTCTTAATGTTGGCTGCACATTAGAGTCACTTGGCGAACGTAAGCAGGGAAATGCTGCTGCCTGGCTTCCACCCCTGAAAATGCGATGTTACGCCCCCAGGGTGGGCGCTGAGCTTTGTAAAAGGCCCCTGGTGACTAGCATGTGGCCAGGGCAGAGAACCGCTGGTCTGGCTGTGCTCAGGCTCTGAGAACACTACACATTTAGAGGGTGGATGCTCATGGAGGGCCCTCAGAAGCAGTACACGTTTAGAGGAGAAATCACACCCTCGACACCAGGCTGCGTTGTGTTTAAGGTGGGAAGCAGGGCTGCACATGACCATCCCAGAAGGAGTCAGGCACAGCTGTGACGGGGCCTGACAGGCTGAAATCAGAGGGCAATTTGCATCTCTCGTTGAGAGCCAGGAGACAGGTGCTTCTCCCACTGAGATGATGGATTTGTCTGATCGAAGCCACAGTTTGCAACTTCGCCTCCTTGCAGCCTGGTTTGGCTTCTGGGAGGAAATGACCGCCCCCCCCCAAAAAAAAATCCTTGTCTTTCTCACCTGTCCCCTCCTAGGAGCTCTTGAGACTTAAACTTCCTCAGGAGAGTAGGCAGAAATAAATGCCCTAGGTCAGTGGTCGGCAAACTGCGGCTCGCAAGCCACATGCGGCTCTTTGGCCCCTTGAGTGTGGCCACGAAGTTTCAATCGCACTGTACGTGCGCGCCCGCACCTGGTATTTTGTGGAAGAGCCACACTCAGGGGGCCGCAGTTTGCCGACCACTGCCCTGGGTAATGCTTCTCCATGGCTACATGGGTTGCCTGAGGCCACGTCGCAATGCTTCTCCCCATATTGAAATATTGAACAGTGATCGTCTTGGTTCCCACGGTCACCGTTTACTACCTGATCGATATTGGGAAGGTCATTTCACCTTTCTGAGTCTTGGTTTCCTCCGTTGTAAAACAAGAGGAATATTTTTTACTTATCAGAATTATCGTGATAGTTTCTTAAGAAAAAGTGATTGGTATAGGATGTGGTCCAGAATAAGTGATTAACAAGTAAGTAGTCATTAATCAAAATTTTAATCCATCCATCTCTTCCTACCTAGCCTGTGGGCTGACTGAGGGCAGATATGATTCTTTTTTATATTTCTTTTTTTTATTTTATATCTTTCTTCCATCCCTGCCCCAAGCAATGCCTAGCCTAGTGCCTAGCAACCAACAGGTGCTTAAGAAATGCTATGTTCTTTTGTGGGTATTTTTTTTTAATGTAGAATATTAATAATATAACAAATATTAAATTTTCAAATAATAGATGCACATTTAAATTGAACAGTGAACATTGTCTTCCTCTATTTCCCTACCTAGACCCCTCATCAGCAGCAACCACTCTGAAGACTCTGGGATCTATCCTTCCCGCCCATATCCTGCAGATTTATAAACACAGACACACAACACAGAAGCGCATTCCCGCTCACACATAGTGCTTGCTGGTTGAGTGTGCAGAGGCTAAAGCCAGACTGTTGGCATTGATCACCTGTGTGACCTTGCACAGCTCAGTTGACCTCTCTGTGACTTAGTTTCCCAGTTTGCAAACATCCCATCTCATAAGAATGTGATGGCAGGTTAAGTGAGTTAAAATTTGTGAGACGGTTAGAATAATGCCTGGGACATGGTAGGCTCTATGTGAGCAGGTTAAATAAAAAACAATTATTGTTTGGAGTCTTACTTTTCACAACTATATATATATTTTGAGCTCTTTGTGTTAAAACATATTGATCTCTCATACTTTTTAATGGCTTAATGGAATTATAGTTTGTGAATATGCTTTAATTTACTTAACCATCTTCTTATTGATGGAAATTTAAAATAGTTTCAACTATTTCACCATTAGACATAACTTATCAGTGTTATAAGTATATCCTTGCATACTTCTGAGAACATTTATGAAGAATAGATTCCCCAAAGTAGAATTATTGGGTCAAAGGATATGCACATTTGCGATTTTGATATTGCGAAATTGCTACCCCCTCCCCAAAGTTGTACTGATATACTCCCAATGTGGGTGTATAAAGGTGACCGTTTTCCTGAAACATTGCCCACACTGGAAATTTATTTTTATTTTTCCCCATTTTGATGGTGGGGGGAAAAATCACAGTTGACCCTCAAATGCCATGAGTTTGGATTGCAAGGATTCATTGAACTGTGATCCATTGAACTGCTATATACGTGCAAATAAGTGTATAATGAATAAGTGGTTGGAAAATGCACAAAATGAGCCAATGAACCAGGGGAACTTGAATTCACTAGATTATTTGGCTTGTGCTCCACCCCACTCCACCCCTCACCCCAGCACAGCTTCTTCCCGGCCCAGCTCACTGCCCTCCTGTCTGCCCACAGCCTGATGGAGTGTGCCGCCGAGCACCTGACCATTGCCAAGTCCGTGGCGAACTTCGTGAACCTGGTCAAAGGCCTCCTGGAGAAACTGCTGGACTACCGGGGCGTGATGACGGATGAGAGCAAAGACAACCGCATGAGCTGCACTGTGAACCTGCTGGTAGGCGGGGCGGAGTCTGGGGACAGGCCTGGCTTTGGGGCTCACTACTGTTCTTAATCCGAAGACAGCACTTAGGGCTTTGTGAATCAGACAGATGTAAGATTGAACTCCTGCTCTGCCATCTGCTGGCTCTGTGTCTAAGGCAATCACATCACCTTTCTGTGCCTCAGTTTCCTTATATCTGAAATGGGAATGAGTATTGCCTTTAGCACCTAACACATCCCATGGAAGGAAGACGGCAGCAGGAAGTGGTTAAGAGGTGAGCTTTGGAGACACACAGCTCACGGGTTCTCGTGCTCCCTCAGATAATTAGTAGAGTAGACAGTCACAGAGGCTTTCTGATGGTTCTCAACCTGTGGGTCACGACCGTCGGAAAACACATATAGCATATCAGATATTTACATTATGATTCATAACAGTAGCAAAATTACAGTTATGAAGTAGCAACAAAAATAATTTTATGGTTGGGGGTCACCACAACATGAGGAACTGTATTAAAGGGTCGTGGCATTAGGAAGGTTGAGAACCACTGGTTTAGTGTGTTTATCTGTTCCGTGGAGAAAAGAATAGTACCCATTTCATAGGCTGTGCAGTCCTGGCCTGTGGTTAAATGCTCACTGTGTGGTAATTTCTCTCTCTTACAGAATGAAGTAACACTAATAACTAGAATTTCTAGAAAATGAGTGTGGGGCACAGGCTAATCAGGACAGCTAATCCCACAGCCGGGCTCTTAGCCTCTGTACACAGGACCTGCCATGGGAAACTCCCGAATGTCTCTCTTCCCATGTCCTGTGATGTGGTCAATACACAGACAGAGGCAGCCACAGTGCCTCACACCCACCATGCCTGCCCACCCTCAGTGGTTACAATGAGGAAAGTTGACCAGAGACCACGTGGCATCCATCACAATGAGCCCCTGCCATTCCCAGTGTCTAGAAACACTGTTCAAGCCCTGTCCCCAAAGTCCTGTGGTGTGGCCTCCATTTCCCTTTTTAACAGCCTCGATATTGCCAATTGATTTCCCTAACTGCTAAGGGGAGTTTAAAAATCCTGATTATAGCAGAAAGGAATTCATTGCTAATCACTCCACCAGGCCCAGTTTACATACAGAGCATGGAGCGGGGTTTTCCTGGAGTTTAGCAGTTTGTCTCTATGAAGACACAGAAGTTAGTAGAAGAAATTGACCTTCAGACTCACCTGGGAGAAAGCTTTGGACAGGCCGTTCTAGAAGCAAGTAGACCCTGCTAGTTTTGTGTGTCCGCATGGTATCAGGGTGGCAGACAGGGTGGAGGTCAGGGGTGTCAGGAGAGCTGAGGTCTCGTACGGCTCTGCCACCCTCTGACTCTGTGCCTGGAACACATCCCCTGCCCCTCTGGCTGCACTGGAGTCCATCGGGTTTTCTCCAGGTGTGGCCCACAGATCCCATCAGGACCTTCTGGCTCAAAATCTGTAAGGACTTATTTTAAAATACACGAGATAGGATCTCTGGGTGGAGCCCAGGATGACCACTGGTCTGAATGGCCCCTGAGCTCAAATAGGTATTTCCAGGTTTAAATGTCTTTGGCTGTGGAATCTCACTGTAAGCCCTGATAGTTCTGCATGGTCAGAAGTTATGATCACTGGGATCTATTATGATTTCTATGACTGTTACTCTGATTATTGCTGTTACTCTGATTCCAACTCAGCCCCACCAGGGTGCAGGGTCTGCACCTGTGAAGATCAAGCCAGGCTGCCCTCACAGTGGACTTTGTCAGCGTAGGTGGCCTCGGCTTCAGCCTCGGCAGCCCACCTCTCAGCGCAGCCAATAGCTCCACTCCAGCCCCTGATACGTGATGGCTGGTACTTCCTCTGTCCCTCCATTGTCTGAGGATCAGGGAGTGATTCCCACGGTAGAATCTCCTAATGAAGCTGTTGGATGCATTCAGGAAATGCAATTTCTTGCTCCCATCTCGGGGGCCGAGATAGTAAACACCAATCTTCCTTCTCATCTCCGTCACTGCACCCTCCACCCCTGCCGCTCTGCAAAAAAAAGCACTCACCACTGTTTTCCTTCCCACCTAGAATTTCTACAAAGATAACAATCGGGAAGAGATGTACATAAGGTAAGATTTTTGTTTTCTAAAACCCAGTCCTGCTCTGTCACTCTCCCGCTCAATACCCATCGATGGCTCCCTATTGTCTTCAGGCCAGAATTTAAACTTACCTTCTTGGTACTCAGGCCCTCTGTGTTCCGATTCCTATCAATCTCCCCAGATTCAGCTCCTTTCATTCCCTGTCATCAGCCCGCAAGCCCGCTGGGAGTTCTCTGACCTGCCATGTTGTTTTGCGATATCCACAGCTCAAACTCTCCTTAACCCGCCTTGTGGCTCGAGCTGGGTCATCGCACTTGTATTTGGTGCAAGGCTGGCACGTGAAGCCCAAGTCCTGCGTTTATAAGGCATGTAGTCAGGTCATTGGCAGCCCAGTTTCAAAGGGGAAAAAATGCTATGATGTATGATGGCGCTTTCTTGTAGGCATTTGAAAGGCAGCTATTTGAGCATGTAATGAAGGATTTTTTGGGACATTAGCCTGGAGCAAAGAACTCCCTTGCCAATTTTTCTCAGAATCTCATATTTTTTTTCTTCAAAGTTTAAAAAAAAATCTTGTTATTTTTACTCATTGCAGAAATAACACATATTAATTACCAAGACAAAAAATACTCATAAAATACAGACAAGCAAAACAAAAAAATGAAATAAACTCCAATAATCCATACATATTCCCAGACCCTTTTCTATTTATATATAGATTGAATTCTATGCATGCACATTTTTTGCAAAAATGGGATCACATTGCTCATAATGTATTCTTTGCTTGACAAGAATTCCATGTCAACAGATATATTTCGACATCATTTTTTTTCTTTCGACATCATTTTTAATGAAACTATAAAATTCTATTTCCAGAATATACCGTAATTTATATGGCCAATCCAATATTGTTGAACACTTAGGTGTTTCCAGCTCTTTTCTGTCATACACAGCACAGTGACGAAATTCTTGGGCCTATATCCTCACGCACATCTCTATGTCACCAGGACCTGCAAAGCGCAGTTGACCATGGCTCCTTCAGGCTCTGACTCAAAGTCTGAACTCACTCTGCTAGCACTGTGGATAGGTCTACCCGCTAATTTAGTTTAACGTTATACCAGAAACAGGAACTATCACTTGGAAAAAGTATAATTCCATAGGTTGTCCTGAGCTTGAGAGTATTTCTAGCATCACTAGACATGGCTTATTGTAGTAGCGCAAAGCTGTGGGGTCCGAGAGGCCTGGGGTCTCCCCTTGTTTTTCTGAGACCCTGGCTATTTCCCTCAGCCCCTCTGGGCTGCGATTTCCCCTGCAGGATGTCTTCGTTCTACCTTGTGTTCTGAGGATTACAAGAGATGCTACAGGTGAAGTGCCCGGCACATGGTGCCCTCCCTCCAACCTCTCTTCTCTCCTTCCCACTTTAGAGACACAGATCTCCATAAGCTTTGGAGATTTGAGGACTATAGAGTCATCTAGGAAACCACATTTTCCTAAACCAGATGTTGTAGCCAAGGATGTAGTCTAAAAGTCTGTTTTATTTGGCAGACATAATATTTAAAGACACTTTCATTTGCCAATTTTTTTTAATATAGAGATTTTTACCCCAAAAATCAAAATTTCCCACTTCTCCTGAAACACCGAGAAGGTATGGCGGCACTGGGCCCTTATCCTGTCCTGACAACTGTCACCCAGACCGGTGGTGGGGCTCCTTGAGGCAGGGTAGGGGAGCTCTGGGCACAGCACTGTCTCTGCTCACCCCTGAGCTTCCGGGGCATCTCACTCACTGCCCCGCTGGCACCGGTAGTTGTTTGAGTTTGAACCCAGGTTGGGCCCGTCAGGGTTGTTGCTGTGGGCTCTGCAGTTGATCACCACACCCTGCAGTTGACGAAGGAGAAGAGAGGGTGCGCTGGCGAATTAGGGGTTATAAGCACAGGAAGGCTCTCCCTCTGACTGTGCTCTCCACGTGCTGTGGACCCAGCCATCAGAGATCCAAGGACCAAGGACAGGCAGGCGGGGATAAGGCGGGTTCAGCCATAGATGGAGGGGTTTCTAAAGGTGGACCACAGGCTCAACACTCCCTATGTGCAGGCCACGTGCAATTTCACTGATCACTCTGATTGATCAGCAGGAAGTTAACGGGTCGAGGGTGGAAAGGCCATGATTGTAGAGGCAGAAATAGCTGGTTTCAAAACCTGGTTTTACCTATTTCTAGCTCCGTCTACTTCAACACAGGTCTTAGTTTTCTTATTTATGAAAGGATCGTAGGAAGAATAAATGGATAGAATATAGAAAGCACCATTTGATAAATGAATGAATGAATGAGATCATTCATTCATCCCCTTACCTGCAGATGCCAGTCCACATGTCATACTATGGAAACCTTGCTGGAAGCCCCACCTGGATGAATCCTGCTGTCATAGTACCATAGATCCTCCTCCATGACATTCATCACAGCTATCTTTTGGCAATTATTTATTTGATGATTTGATTGACATCTGCCCCCTTCCCCTAGACCAGTGGTCAGCAAACTCATTAGTCAACAGAGCCAAATATCAACAGTACAACGATTGAAATTTCTTTTGAGAGCCAAATTTTTTAAACTTAAACTATATAGTTAGGTACATTGTTATTAACTTAATTAGGGTACTCCTAAGGCTTAGGAAGAGCCACACTCAAGGGGCCAAAAAGCCACATGTGGCTCGCGAGCCACAGTTTGCCAACCACGGTCCTAGACTATGAATGCCAAGTCCTGAGAATGGTGTCTACTTTTGTCCCCACTTTATCTAGCGCCTGGTACAGCCGTGTGCTCAGCACAACTTGGCTGGTTGAATCAAGAAATGAGAGAAAGGTCACTAGGATGTCCTGGCTCATTAGTTATCAAAAACCACTAGCTGACTTTTTCTCCTCAAAATCTTTGCAGTCCCTGCCCTAAGGTCAGGCAGCCTGCATCTGGCTCGCGGGCCATGTTTCATGTGGCCAGCTTCTCCTTTGGTGACATTCTGCGAAGATAGGTTTCTTCTAGTGGGAGCCTGAGCCTGAGCACTGAGCTCTGCTTTGAAAGCAGCTGCTTCAGAAGCCCTTTGTTCCCTGTGGTTAGGCAATCAGGGCAGAATCTTGGCAGACGCCGCCTTCCCTCTCAGAGGAAGAGACCGGGGCCTGCATCACAGCATCGCCCCTTCACTCAAGCACTAAGCGTTGCCTGCTCCTGATGACATGCAAGTCGCCAGAGCAGTGGTGCTCTGGCTCTGAATCTGTTTCCAACAGTGGCAGGTTCTTCTTTGTAGAAGAGCCGAATTCACAATGAAAATAGATAAGAACCATTACAGCTCAGTGCTGGCTCTAGGCTAATCACTTCCAGTGCAAACTTGCATTTATCAGCTGCAATGCTAGCCGTCACTTTCTGAGCCTTCCGACATGGTCTGCTTGGCTCTTTATATGCCCATAGGTGTGTTCTGTGAGCGTTGCCATCTTACCGATGAGCAAAGGAAGGCACCGAAAATTAATTCCCTTCCCCTTAATGCCTATTATGTGTCAAATTAAGAATTGACCAGAGCTCCCTTCCTTTGTTTCTGTCCTGTCCTCAACACCACTCATCCATACAGTCATCCCCGGGATCAGAATTGGAGCATCACATCGTAAATGAACGGGTGGTGGGGATGTGATTATTGTTGAATAGTAGATTCTCCCTGCTGACAGCTCCAGGTCTGGAAGTGAATATCCAATCTCCAGCCCCTGGTCCACTTCCTTCCTTAAATGTACTTCCTTTATCCCCAGAGAACACTGAAGAGCAGGTAGGATCTGCCCCCTTTGCAGGGCCGTGGCTTGTTCATGCTCTGGAATAGGACAATGACCAGAGCATGGGCTCTAAGGGCAGTTACCTGGGATCACGTTTCAGCTCTTCTATTATTAGCACGTGACTTCTGATGAGTTACTCAGTTCTCCTTCCCTGATTTCCCTTGTCATATTGCATTGGCTGGAGTCTTCAGTATGAAGTTGAATGGTACTGGCCCGAAGCATGCCTGACTTTTCCAGGCCATAGTTTTCTCATCTGAAAATGGGCATCCCCAACAGACCCATTTTACAGGGTTGTCATGAGGATTAAATGATCTGAGGCATTTAAAAGACTTAGCATAGTACCTGCCACATACCCAGTGCCCCACAGATACCAAGTGCTGTCATCATGACCACACAGGGGCGCTGGCTATTAGGGAGGGAGAATTCCCCAGAGGTACTCAGTTGCTCTGTCTGGCTTCTACGTGGCCCTGCCACCTGCCTCCTTATCACCTGGTAACTCAGCTTGTTTCCCCAAACAGGTACCTGTACAAACTCCGAGATCTTCACCTGGACTGTGACAACTACACGGAGGCTGCCTACACGCTCCTTCTCCACACTTGGCTTCTCAAGGTACTGCCCTTCCCATGGAGTGGATTCATGCAGGGATTCCCCTCGGGCCTCACAGCAAGTGGGAGAGTTAAAAAGAAAAGAAAGAAAAGAAAAAAGAATTAGCCAAATAAATTTCGTGTTGCTCTGAGTCCAACAACTTGATCTGGCAAGGTTACTTTTCTGCACTGCTTCTCCTGGGCACATAAGGTCTCTGTGACCTTCACATTTAGCAGCAACAGTAACCCCTCGAGATATGGCTTATGGTTTTATATAACATCCAACTGTTTTCTATAACATCCAGACATCAACTGTAAATCATTAGCACACCCAGACCTCCACTTGAGCCATTTTCCTGCTATTGAAAGTGCTGCTAGAGCTGGACCAAGTCTGAGGGATTTCCTCTGGCTTTTAAAGAGCTGGGACCCTGTCTCCTAGGAGTTCAGAGAAAGTCCCTACACACCACATATATGAGCCAGTAGAGCAGTGGTTCTCAACCTTCTGGCCCTTTAAATACAGTTCCTCATGTTGTGACCCAACCATAAAATTATTTTCATTGCTACTTCATAACTGTAATGTTGCTACTGTTTTGAATCGTCATGTAAATATCTGATATGCAGGATGGTCTTAGGCGACCCCTGTGAAAGGGTCATTCGACCACCAAAGGGGTCGTGACCCACAGGTTGAGAACCACTGCAGTAGAGAGTCAAGTGTGACTCAGCAAAAATCAAGGGGTGCTTCCCAAGTGTAGCCTGTCAACCAGTATCTCTCCGACTGGCCGCTGACACCCAGGGTGGCAGGGAGACAGCTCCTCATCCATGGGGAAGACACCCGCCCTCGGTGGCCCCTCAGCCCCTGGTGACCCCGCATGTCCTCTCTTCACAGTGGTCAGATGAGCAGTGCGCCTCACAGGTCATGCAGACAGGCCAGCAGCACCCCCAGACCCACCGCCAGCTGAAGGAGACGCTGTATGAGATCATCATAGGCTACTTTGACAAAGGAAAGGTAATTTGTCCCTGCCTTCCCTCTCTGTGGGGACCCTGCTACCGGGAAGGGTGGCTCTCTCCTGTGCTCCATACCAACCCATCTGCATATCTCCATCCCAGTCCTAAGTCTGACCACTTCTCTCCATCTCCAGTCCTACCACCTTTGTTCATGGCACCAGTATTGCACACCTGGACACTCAGGTGGCCTGGGCTTCACAACTTGGTCCTCTACCCACAGTTCCCTTGGCCTCTAGGAGATGCCAATTCCCTACCCACAACAGTGAGATACGAATTGTACCCACCTCCTAGTGATATTGGGAAAATTAGGTGAGAAGCTGCATGTGGAACATCTAGCACAGGACCTGGTACATAGTCACATCTTGAGTTGTGACTGTCACCATCATCACCGACTCCACCTTCAAGGCCCCCAGTTGAAGGCCATTTCCTCTGTCATTACCTGCTGCCTCTCTCTGAATCGCAAGGCCTCTGGTGTTCCTCAGGACACAGTTTAGCACTGAATTTGGTCTGTCCTCGCACTGCAGTTTCTCGCATCTGTCTTAGTCTGATCCCCCCACCTTCCCTGGAAAGACAAAATGAGGTAATGTCTGGGAAGGGCTTATAAATTCCCAGGAGTTGAGTGGGTGAACAACACTGTTTTTATAATTTACCATTATAAGCCTCTTGAGGGCAGAGACTCTGCCATCTCTGGAACCTCCTGCCCTGCGAGACATCCAGTCAGTGTACTGTTGGTTTACCAGCTGACTAAGTTGTCACAGTGGGGTGGGGGGTGAGGGAGCCCCAAAAGTGCATGCTGAGCTTTGTTCTCTGCAAGGTATCCAATTCGACCCACCCTGTACTAAGCAGAGAGGAAAAGGCATAATCCCCTATCTCAAAGACTTTACCGTCCAGTTGTCAAGATGGACATGCCAATCATGTTTTTTGTACATTACCCTTTGGTGTTGTGCAATTGTGGGAGAGGGGGTGGAACAGGGTGGTGACTAAATACTTTGGGAGCAGAGAGGAGGAGCAGATGGGTACGGCTCACTCTGAAAGCCACTGTGTGGAAATTTCTAGAATGAAGCCCATATTCCTTAGCATCCTTTCAACTTCTTTTCCCCAACACCTCTCCTCATAGAAACTCATTGCTCCAAGCACACATCATGGCTTTCTACCCCGTAAGTCCATCTATCGCCACCTGGTGGACTCCTCTACATCCCTCAGAACCCAAATTACATCTATTTTTGTGTGTGCTTTACTCGCTTATGTTCCACATTTATATCTGCTCCACCACTGTATACCATGCCACGCCTGGAAGCAGCAGGCCCTGGACTGTATTAGGCTCAGGGATCCGTGACTGTCAGAGGTCCCAGTGACCACAGGGGCAGATGTGGGAGGAAATCCCAGGTCCCTAACTCCTGCCTGGCTTCCTTCCTGGTCCCTTAGTGGTCTCTTACACACGGGAAGAACATTTCTGGCATATTATGGTATGAAGTTGGCAAAGACCTCCACTTGAGCCACAGTCCCCTGGCCAGCTCAGGGTGTTACCACCACCCCTTGTTCTGGCTGAAGAGGAAGCACCAGCCGGCCTGGCCCACAGACTTGGTTCCTTCTGGCACATAAAGCTCTTTTACGCTGCTCCCTACGCTGTCCATGGGTTTACAGCCACGGCGCCTGCACTCTGCGCTTGCTTCTATTTATTTTTATGCTTGGATGCAGAGAGAGCACTTTTGCTACAAAGCACACACTGCATTTTGGCAACCTGCCCTCTCTCCTCCCCCACCTCCCCCAGCTTCTCCATTTAGGTGCATTTTTCTATTTTAAACCAAATGTGAAATGTAATGGGTGTCCCTTGAGATTGCCAGACCTCTGCCCACTGTGCCTTCCCCGGCCTCTCTGCTGGGGTTCCCACCCTGTGGTTGCAGATGGAGGGGTGATCTGTCAGCTCCAGCCTCACACAAAGCAAAGGGAAAGGGTCCCCTATGTCCAGGGATTGTTTTCAGAATTGGTTTTAAATACAGAAAAGACCTATCTTTTTAAACATCTCAATCACTCCTTTTATTACTCTAGTACCACTCCCATCCCGCCTCTATGCGGCCCCTGCACACGCACCCGCCCCCCCAAAATAACCCCACTGAGAAGGGACTGCGTCGTTTCAGTTACACAGATTACTGGGCTCTAGAGCACGGCTGGGCAGCATTGGCATTGCTTAGCAATACTGGGTCCCACCGTGAACTTAAAATTCTGTTTAGATGGTCGCCCGGCTGGTGTGGCTCAGGGGATGAACGTCAACCTATGAACCAGGAGGTCACGGTTCAATTCCCAGTCAGGGCACATGCCCGGGTTGTGGGCTCTATCCCCAGTGTGGGGCATGCAGGAGGCAGCTGATCAATGATTCGCTCATCATTGATGTTTCTATCTCTCGCTCCCTCTCCCTTCCTCTCTGAAATCAATAATAAGAATAATTATTATATATATATATATATATATATATATATATATATATGAATAACAACCAATTACAAACAGCTAACTAGGTTTTTAAAAAATTCTGGTAACGGAAGATCTCGTGTCCTTACCACATACACACACCAAAAAAAGAGGCAGAGGAAGGGAGGGAGGGAAGGAGGAGGAGAGAGGGAGGGGAGATGGCCAGAATGGAAAGGCGTCAGGCTGGCAGAGTGGAAGACCCCCAGGCATGAGCACCAGGAGAAGTGGATCTGGCCCCATCTCTATCTCCAGATAGAGATGCACCCAGGCACCTGCTTACTTCTCTGTGAACCATTTCTCTTTGGAAAATAGAGCTACACCTCCCTGCCCCGCCTGCACGGGGCAGCTGAGGGAGTTCATTCACTTCAGAGGCAGGAGTAAAGCAAGGTCCCTGGGGCACCCCCAGGTGGGCATCCTGGCCCTGCTTTGGGTTGGGCATCTGAGCTGGGCCACTGCTCTGCCCATGAAGCTCTGCGTCTCACCTGGGGAGTACAGAAGCCACTAGTCACCTCTCAGAGGGGTTGTGAGGGCCCGAGAGCCTTTGGGGACCGTGTTCAGCCTAGTCTGCAGCTGCTCCATTATTTGTGAAGAAACTGGGCTGAGAGGCAGAGGAAGGGCTCCTGGGAAGCACCAAGCTTCCTGTGCATGGGCTGGGGCTCCCTGTGCCTGGGGCTGGGGCTCCCTGTGTGTGGGGCTGGGGCTCCCTGTGCGTGGGGCTGGGGCTGGGGCTGGGGCTGGGCCAGGCTTGTCACTGAGTCTCAGGAGACACAGCCGCCAGGTCCCTTCCTTTGCAAAGGCCCTGCTCGCCTGGAGGCGCCCCTAACCTCTTTCTCCTCGCCCTTCCTGCAGATGTGGGAGGAGGCCATCAGCCTGTGCAAGGAGCTGGCGGAGCAGTACGAGATGGAGATCTTTGACTACGAGCTGCTCAGCCAGAACCTGGTAAGGTGCCACCTCAGAGCGGACTGGTGCTCGGGACCTGGTGCTCAGGACCTGGCTCCCCACAGAGGAGGGCGAGGGGCGGGAGGCCAGCCAGGTGGGACACAGAGAAAGAATGGAGGGAGGGCCTGACCTGAGCCGGGCTGTGCTGAGCAGCTCCCTCCCCATTGGGAATATTTCCAAAGGGAGGAATTCTGGGAAAACTCATCAGACAGCCGCTGGGATGGGCGTTAAGTACCTGCTTGGCACTGGGCGCTGCCGCGGCCGCTCACCCAATCAGCGCTGTGCTCCATTTGCAGTCAAATTCCCACAAATCACTGAGCCAATTAAATAAAAACGCAAATTTGTGCTTTCTGATTAACAGATAAATCACATTAAAGTGCTCCCCATCTGGCCGTTCCCCATTAGCTCCTGGGTGCTTGTGATTAGGGGGAGGGAATGGAAGTGGGGGAGCAGCTATGCTGCTTGTGCCGCAGAGACTGGGCTGTGCAGGGAGGCTGCCTCTGCAGGGAAGATGTGGAGAACTTTTAGGTTGCTACCCCCGCCACCTACTTCCTGGTGACCTGAGAGCCAGACCCAGGGCCCCATCATAGCCCCTTTTAGAGGCCAGTCCAGCTCTAATGAGTGTCCGAATGTTGGGAGAGAGTTTATAGGATGGTTTTGGTGGGGGCTGGTTATGGAGTATAGTGTTCTAAGAGATGTGCTTGAAGAGAAAACACTTATATCTGCCCCATGAGTGTGTCCCACATGGGCATTTGCAGATAGGGAGGCCCGAGGTCCTGCACACACATGCTCAGGACACATTTATGCATGCACACACTCACACACACACAGTACATATTCACACACATGCTGGCATGCACACACATCTGGGTACCAAGCCCACGTCACAGGCTCGTGCCTGGGTCCATGCACACACATCTTTCATCTGTAGCAGGTTTCAGATGTCGCAGTTTGTCCTTTTCTATGGGCCATGTCTGGCTAGTGATTTCTTTCTGGCTGATATCAATCACAAGAGGCCATCAGGTGTAAAGTAAGAGGTAAACTGTTCCAGAGATGCTGAAATGTGGAAAGCACGCGCCTCTTAGAGGTGATGATATATGCCATGTGCACGCACAGGAAGACGTCGATATGCAGACACACATCCATCCACACACCCGCAGGACACAGGCCGGTGACAGCTGGCCGGCTTCACTTCCTTACCCACGGGCTGCACCAGGAGATAACGTTTCTTTATCTGCAAAATGGAGATGCAGTACTCGTGGGGTTACTATGAGGCTGATGCAAGTAAATGAGCTAGTGCAGGTAGAGCGATTTGCCCGGTACATGGTCTGCGTCAGATAGAGCTGCTGCAGGTGTCCCTTGGCATCATGGGGACACTGGTTCCAGGACCCCCAGCTGACAAAATCTGCAGATGCTCAAGGCCCCTCTGTAAATGGCATAGAATCTCTATTTGATACAGGCTACAGCAGGGTCTGCCTGCACACCGATTCATTTGCATGGATTCAACGTGATGCTGGGCATGTGTCAAATTCGAGGTATTTTTTTTGGGGGGGAACACATTGGGGGACTTGTTTTCTAATATTTGAAATCTGTTGTTGTTGAGTCCATGGACGTGGAACTTGCAGATACAGAGAACCCGCTGTACTGTTACAATCGCAGACGCTTCCACCGATGTGCAGATGTGTGCACACGGGTGCTGGTGTAAGGAGCACGTCTGCACTGCGGCCGCCCTGAGCTGAGTGTGCCTTCGACACACATCTGGATTGTTATGAGCTGTAAGTTTTCCTCTTTCAGGTCCAGCAGGCGAAGTTCTATGAAAACATCATGAAAATCCTCAGACCCAAGCCAGACTACTTTGCCGTCGGGTACTATGGCCAGGGCTTCCCCACCTTCCTGCGGGTGAGTTTGCGGTGACTTGTCCCAGGGCCAGGCCCAGTTTGTGCACTTCAGCTGTTCCTCTGCCGGGAGGACTGGGTGCGCTCAGACACCATGCTCTCCTCCCTTCCAGCACTGCCCCACTCCCTCACCCCCCATACACAGAGCCGCCTCGGGAGTAGTGAGTTCCCCGTCCCTGCAGCAAGGATCTCTGCTACCCAGCAGCCCCATAGAGCACAAGCTCTCAGAGCTCTTAGACTTAGGACCCCCATTTTCTCTCTTAAAAATTATTGAGGTCCCCAAAGAACTTCTGTACTTATAGCCTATATATACCACATTCGAAATTAAAACTAAGAAAATTAAAAATATTGATCAACTTATTTAAATTAAAGCCATCATTTGTCAATATAAACGTCATCTTTATGAAAAAATAACAGTATTTTCTAATTTAAAAACTAGTACGAGCAGTGAATTGTTTCCTGTTCCTGCAAACCTCCTAAATGTCTGATTGAGAGAAGACAGCAAAATGCTTACCCTGCTCTGCATTCAGTCGGCTGTGATCCCACACATCACGCAGCCTCTGGAAAATGGCTGCATACTCGCGAGAGAACAAGAGTGATGACGGCAAATGACAGCTTACCGTTATTATGAAAAGAGCTTGGATCCTGTGTGGCCCGGAAAGGGTCTTGGGGACCCTCAGGGACCCCTGGAACACAGTTTCTGAACCACTGCTTTTTGGATTATTCCTTCACTCATTATGTAGAGAGTTGAATTGGGTCAACTACAGGCTTCCTTCCGGTCTGGGAGTCTAGGGTTCAAGTCTGAGCTCAAGGAGATTCAACAAGAACAGTAAACCTGGTGTCTGACTCCACTTGATTGACAGTCCAGTCAAAGAGACAAATCACTCACTGTTAGCAGTCGATGTGGAAGTCACAGTGGGCATGAGCTGCATGCAGGAGGGCACATGCTGAGGGTTTCCTTGATGGAAGAGAGGTGCCTTCCCAAACCTGATGGTGCATCAGAACCCCTGGGGAACTTGATAGAAATGCATGTTCTGGGCCCCACCACATAGGTTCCGTCTCAGCAGGTCTGGAGTGAGGCCTGAAAATCCAAACTTCTAAAGTCTCCCGGGCTCTTTGGGTGGTCTCCCAGGTTCAGAAGCAACCGATCTATGGAGGTGACAGATGTGGGTTTATACAGAACAACTTAGGGCCATCAGAGGCTGCCCAGATCTGGTCTAAAACAGGGATTCTCAACTCAGCTCTGTTGACATTTTAAACTAGGTCATGATCTTGTGTGTGAAAGAATGTTTAGCAGCATCCTGGGCCTCTGCCCACTAGATTCCAGTACTCCTCCCCCCCACCCCCGTCCCCAAGTGATGACCAACAATGTTTCCAGACACTACCAGTTCCCATGGGAGGCAAAAACACCCTCTGTTTGAAAATTTCTGGTCTAGAAGAGGCTAATGTGGTCAAGGAAGGGTAAAGAGTGTGTCTCCATGGAAATAGGACCAGGAGCCAAATGATGGGAGGCCCAAATGCTGGTCCCTCCCTGCCCACAGGCCCAGCCCACAGGGCCCATTAAAGGCCAGACGTAAAACTTGTGGTCATATAAACAGGAGAGTAGAGTGACACAGTGAACACTGAGTGAGGAATTATTCTGAAAGCTCTACAGAGGACAGTTTAAAGGAGAAGCTTTCAGCGTCCACGATCTTCTCTCCCTCTAGACCCAGCCTTTCTTAAGAAGTGCTGGGCCTGGCTAGAAGGTCAGTGAGCTGAGCTTCTCCTTTGCTCAGTGGGGAAGGAGAGAAAGATCCATAGGAAGCCACCATGGCCCCGGGCTCATGTCACAGCCTCCCAGCCCTGCTTGGACCACACCCTCTAAACCTGGGTCCTGAGATCTCTGATGGTTTCATTTCTCTGCAGAACAAAGTGTTCATCTACCGAGGGAAGGAGTATGAGCGGAGGGAAGACTTCCAGATGCAGCTCATGAGCCAGTTCCCCAACGCAGAGAAGATGAACACAACCTCTGCCCCCGGGGACGATGTGAAGAACGCCCCAGGCCAGTGTATCCTTGGAGAGGCCCCAGCCCAGGGGCCGGACATGGGTACCCCTGCTGGGACTGTAGCCCACAGAGCCCCATCTTAGAGCTCAGAGCTGACCAGCATCATTGACGGGTGCCAATTTCAGTGTCCAGTGTGGTGGGATGCAGTGAACCCTCCTGGGGAAACTCTAGATGTTGAATTCATTGGTTAATTACTCATTCATTCTTGTAAGGAATACTATCGAGCTCCCACTCTGCGCCAAGCGTTATGCAACCTGCTGGAGACTATACTCATAACGTGGTTCTACCTCAGGGAGCATATAGTTTAGTGACTAAGAGAGACATTGAACAACAGCACCATTAAATGTGTCGATAAAAATGTGATCCCTGCCAAGAGGAGGCTATGCAGGTCCTGCGGTGGGGAGGGCAGGGAAGGCCTCCTTGGGGAAGGTGATGGGTAAGGTGAGTCACCAGCCAAAGGTTAGTGGGAGCTGGGAAGAATGTCCTAGACAGATGGACGGCCCATCTCGTGCAAAGGCCTGAGTGGGAAGAAGCAGAAGAGGTTCCAAGAACTGAAATGGGGCCACAACGCTCTTCTAGGAAAAGCAAAACTCCCAAGTAAGGCCTCCAGGCTGTCCAGCCTCTGACTCCTGCCTGCCTCTCCTTCACCATGGCCCTGACTCTTTCTTCCCTCGTTTCTGTTCCTTAAACACATGAAGCTTGTTCCCACCTCTGTTCCCTCTGCTTGGCATGCTCTTCCCCCATCAGGTCCTAACTTGGTGGCACCACCTGGAAGAGGCCATCCCTGACCTAATGTGACCTTCTCTGAACTCTTCAGGGCTCGTATCTCAGCCTCTGTGTGTTTTCCTTAGAGAGCTGATCTCAGTCTCTTGTTATCTTTGTGCTTTTTAAAGGTACGTGTAAGTTAGACGCTAAGCTCTGTGAGGGCAGGGACTTGAACATCACAGTAACTCCTACATCATCCCATGCCCCATACAAAGCTGACTCTCGGGAAATACATGCTGATTAATAAGGAGACAAAGAAAACAAGAGGAAAGGAAGAGGGAGATGGACACAGAAAGGGACGGGGGAGGGAGCCAGTGAGCTGGCGCACACAGAGGACAGAGGTGGCATGAGATGACGCCGTGAGGTGGGGCAGAGTGCGCTGTTCACAGGGCCTGGAGCCGACCCTGAGCAGGAGGCAGACTCCCAAGGAAAAGGCAGACAGCTGAGCGGAGGTGCCTCAAGCTAGCCTGGCTCCCCGCTTTGCACCCCCGAACACAAATTAAGTTATAGCCTTTAAAGTGGGCTTGACAGGTTACATGGCTGGTCTGCTAAGTCTGCCGAACTGTAATCCAAATGTATTTCCCTCGGGTGATGCATATTCACCTGTAACCTTTTCATTATGCTCGCCTGCCCTTCGTGCCTGCTCTACCACGGTCGGTCGTTTGCAGCAGGAAATGCAATGGTGGTGGGGCTGGCTGGTTACAGGTGCGAGTTTGGGTACAGATGAGACCCGGGATGGACACGTGAAGTTGAGCAGCCCCATGGCCGTTACTCCGGCAGGTGGAGGGGGCATGTGCTCCCGGCCGTGTAATCATATGGAGGCCCGATCCAGTGTCTGGATCCAGGTCTGTCGTTTGTTAAATGTCCTCTTCTTGCTATGCAGGACTGAGTGCTTTAGTGGCATCATTCCTTTAATCCCTGCAACATCTTGTAAGGTTAGTATTAATTTTCCTTATTTCATAGAGAAGGAATGTGGGAGGCAGGGAGGTAAGGTTACAAAGCTAGTTGGTGATGGAGTTGAGATTTGAACTCTAAGTTCTATGTGTCTCAAAGTCTGTATTCTTTCTATAATGCCAGCATTTTGTTTAAGACTGATGAACAGAATGTTCTTTAGTAACTAATTGTTCATGTACTAGGCATTTGCATGCATTGTTCCCTTGTAGTCTCCTAATAATCCCCTGAGCTGGGAAGTATTATTCTCTGGACTTTACAAATAAGAAAACGGAGGCTCAAAAACTGTAAGCATCTGCACAAGATGCCCGGAAGTGATGGAACTAGGATTTGAACTCGGGTCTGCTTTTTACCAAAACCTGAGCTCTGTGGAAAAGCTGCTGGACAGTTTGGAAAGGTGACAGATGTAAGGCGACGACAGGTCTCCTGTCTTTCCACTTGGGTATCAACTGGGGGAAGACATTTAAAAGCAAAGGTTGCTTAGCTGGGGATCTCCTGCCCCTACCATCCTCTCTGCCCAGACCTCGGGGCCTCACTTCTATGCACAGCCTCAGCACCTGGTTAGAGTCTAGCCACACATCCTCCTGTGTCACTGGCTCCATTGGGTCAGGGTTGGATGACCCTCTTGGACCAAGACCAGTTGCTGAGGTCAGTAGACATGACCTAGAACCTTCTTTAAAACAGGAGCTGGCAAACTTCTCTATAAAGAACCAGATAGGAAATATTTCCATCTTTCTGGGCCATGTGGTCTCTGTCACAACCACTCAACTCTGCTGCAATAGTGGTGGGGGCAGGGGGGCACCCATGGATAATACATGGATGGATTATCGAGGTTCTAGGCATTTTCCCACTAAACATCTTGGCTGCAAGCATTTTCACCACAAACATTTTCACTGCAGAATGAATTAACCGTAAGGCAATTTTGCTGTAAAAGGACATAATAAAACAGGAAAAAGTGAATAACAAAATTAAAAAGACTGTTGCTATACATTTTTTTAAATGTCAATTTGTATTCGCATATGGTCACATGTCCATTGCTAGAGGTTCCAAAGCTCCATGGGAAATGCTGAGGTGTGCAATACATACAGTATCACCTGAGGCTTCGCAAACTGACGTGTGATCATTTTCTGGTGTAGTATGCAATCCGGCCCATATTTCCTATCAAGTAAATATATGTACTTGTTATCATCCACTCTTCAGACCACCCCATCTACATGTCACTGTGTAGACCGTTATGAGGGCTAAGATTTATATAATGTGAAGATGGGATTACTGCGAGACCTGTCAATGGAGAAATGAAATAAAACCAAACTTTCATGACAGCCAGCGTAAATACATTAAGTATTTAATGTATTTAAATTGATTCGTCAATGGAGAAATGTAACCAAACTGTCAACCAGCTATTTCATCTTTTACGGCAAAAAATGCTTGAAGCCAAGATGTTGACAGCTCAGATGCTTGAAAATATCTAACAAGCCCAACATTTATGGGCGTGGGGGGGCAGTTGAATTGAACTTGGAATGATGTCTTGACCATTTCCTACCTGTGAAAGAATCATAGCCTCCGCTATCAGAAAGCTCACAGCCTGGTGGGGGGCGGAGGCGGGGAGGAAGACAGGGCGCTGAAAGATAAGAGCCAGGTACAGACAAGGCGCTTGAGGGGGCCCCCAAGCTGTGAAGGAGGAGACCTGGCTGAGGACAAGCCAAAGGCTCGTGGAGGTGCTGGAGGTGTGGGAAGCCTTCCAAGCAGAGGGAACAGTAGTGGGATCTGTTGGATGCGCAGAGGTAATGGTGGGAAATGGGTCGGGAGCCTAGTGGAGTATTTGAATACTCCATATTTAACATTGGCATACAAGAATGCCAACACAAGGAGTTTGTGATCCCTTGGTTGGCAGAAATGCCAGGCCCAGGAGGAGGGATTTCGGAGTCATGGCAGTCATCTGGTAGAGCAGAGCAATGAGAGAACTCAGATCACCAAAGAGGACAGATGGGTGGAGACGCCATGGAGCAGGGCGCAGGGGTGGGCCCAGTGATGCTTAAAGTGAATAACTACTAGAATGAGGGCGACAGAGATCTGGCCTGTCCTTAGATCTGTGCCCATGGCAGGCATCACTAATCGATCGTGGAACTCTTTCCCACCGAGCCGGGTCATGGCCTTCCAATCCTGTTGTAGGCAGCTACTCTCAAACTCTCAGAGTCTGAGTGTAAACTGGCATGTATCTGCATGCTCTGAAGCTGTGCTTCTCAAATGTGTGTGTGCATATCAGGATCTTAGGAAAAATCGGAGTCAGATTGAGCAGGTCTGAGGCAGGGCCTGAGAGTCACTGTTTCTAATATGCTCTCAGGTGATACCAACATTGCTGGTCCAAGGGCCACACTGGGTAGCAGTCGAGAGTCAAAGAGCCCGAGTTTAGGATTAAAGATATAAGTACAAACCTCTGCTTTGTTCTCACAAGTGTGTGAGTGTCTGCGAGTTGCCTAGCCTCTTTGACCTTGATGTCCTCAGCTAGGAATTGGGACAATTACATGAATACCGCTGCTCTGGGGAATTGGAGGGAGGAAAGGAGACCATGGGGAGAGGTGCTCTGCAATTGATTAAGCGCCATAAATGCATTAGATGGTGTTATTGCTAATGATAATACAGCAATGGAAAAGGTGGTTAAGCACCACTAACCTACCATCAGCAGGGGCGGAGCCCTGGGACAGGGCTGCAAGCGACAGCAGCTCTGCCTGCGAACTGGTCAATAGGACCTAGTTGGCAGCCAGCAACCCGAGGTTGGTCCTTCAACGAAAACTGGGCCCCAGAAGGGCTGGTCTGGAAGGAAGGTCTCAGAGGGACCCGCTCTGCTCGGAACTGTCCCTCTGGCCAGGGACGTGTTGTGAACCTTAACTCGGGGACCCCAGACATCCAGTGTTTCACCGTCCAGCCCGTCTTGGATGAACACCCCAGGTTCAAGAATAAGCCGGTGCCTGACCAGATTATAAAGTAAGACCCGCAGCTCGCTGGAAGGCGGGAATGGGAAAGAAATCCCAAGCTGGGCTGGGGGCAGGGATTTCTCCCCAGAGCCCTTCTGGGTCCTTCCTGGTCTTAGCCAACCTGTTCCCCTTCCTCTTGGGAGGAGAAACACACAACCCTCCTCAATTAGCCATCTGGGCCCTGCCGCTGAAAAGGCTGAAGCCAGAGATGAGTGACAGGAATGAGGATGTGGTTCGCCTCGAGGCAGAGCCTCAGTAAGCAGTGATGAGATTCACTGAACTGGACGTGGAACCTGTCACCCAGGTGGATCCCACAGTGTGTGTGTGTGTGTGTGTGTGTGTGTGTGTGAGTGTATGTGTGTGAGTGTGTGTGAGTGTGTGTGAGTGTGTGTGTGTATATGTGAGTGTGTGTGTGAGTGTATGTGTGTGTGTGTGAGTGTGTGTGTGTATGTGTGAGTGTGTGTGTGTGTGTGTGTGTGTGTGTGTGTGAAGGAGGGGTCCAGGGAGGGCGTGCTCAGCTGGGCACTTTCTCCCAAGGGGCCATCTTTCAGCATGTGCTGGGGTTGTGTGCTGACAGTGGGCATGTTCAGATTATGGAAAGGGACATCCCAGGGAGTCCCGTGAAGGCAGGTGTCAGTCTATTCAACGCTAGATGGCAAGGTCAGTGATGAGCCATGAGTCACGGGCTCTGCTGACCCTGTGGGCCACAAGGCTGCACCCCTCCCAGCTGTCCAGCTCACCCCCTGAGACCCAGGGGCCCAATATAGCACCCCACATGCTTTAGACTAGTGGGAAGCAGGTGCTTGTAGGAAGAAGGGCCCATGCCCTTCACACGGTTGAGCAGGACCTCAGCCTCCTGTCCCCTGTGGCCAGGCGCCCATGGGCAGGGACCACAGCCGTACAGCTAGCACTGTGCCCTGCTGGCCCCGATGGCAGAACCTCACTAGAGAGTCGGGAAAAGTGATCTGGGGGGATGGCTGGGATCCCTAAAGAAATCCTTGGAAGATCCCCCGGGACATTGGCTAGGTGTGTCCAGTCCTCCGAGCAGTCACAGGAAATGACGACCCAGGTGGCTCTGTGCACTCATGCAGGAATTCCAACTCCTGGGGTACCCCAAGGGCTGCCCTGTCCTCATGAAGGCGCAACACCAGCCTACCCTCTAATCACCTGACCAGGAAAGCCTGGCTTTACACGTTGCAGCCAGGACTCTGCCAGGCCTGTGCTTGCTGTCAGGGTCCGCACTGGGCAGGCTCCGGGCAGGCTCTGCATCAGCGGCCGGCGTGCTGCTGGGAGCCTCAGCCTCTTCCTGTCTTGCAGCTTTTACAAATCCAACTATGTGCAAAGGTTCCACTACTCCCGGCCGGTGCGCAGGGGGACGGTCGACCCCGAGAACGAGTTTGCCGTGAGTACCTGCCCTCCCCCGCAGCAGCCCTGACCATTCCCTGGGCCCCCTTGCCAAGCATCTGCCAACCTCCCCTCCAAATGGGAGGGGATTTGATCCAAAGCCAGGGAAGTAAAGCCAGCAGCGTCCACCATCCCTGGTCCTTCCATTGGGGTTGTTAGTCTTTTCACTTTCAAGATAGGCCCCGGGCCTCGGTGAGATGGCCTTTCAAGCACAGGGCACTGGGGCGTTCCCAGAAGGGAGGGTCCTCAGGCTCTGCAGGGGCAGTGAAGCCAAACCCTCCAGGAAACACCAATTATAAGCGACAGAGGTGTGAGTCCGGCTGTCCCCTGGGTGTTTCCCCAGCTGGGGCCTGCCTTCTGTCCCCAAGGGCCGAGGCCCGGCATGAGGAGGTGGCCTCAGGGCTCCTCCAGCTCTTGGCCTCGGGCTGTGACTCTTCATATTTGGGGAGTTGCTGCCCCTTTGAGAATTGAGTGCACACGGTGGCCCTTCCCCAGGAAAGGCAGGTGGATGCCCTCAATATTACCTTAAGGTTCAAACCATTCAGAAACCCCAGTTAAAACTGACAGGGCCTAAATCCAGGGAAAACTTAAACTTCGCGCTGGGAAAGGATTCCTAAGGGGAAGGTGAGAGTGTGTTTCCGGGTCTTGCAATACTTATTTTGGTCTCGGGTGGATGGGGAGCCAGCGGGTCTGGAGGGATCCGGGAAAGCGGGTATGGAACCCAGGTTTCCTAAGAAGTGCTTTCCTTCCCTCGTCACCCCCTGCCCCGGCACAGTCCATGTGGATCGAGAGAACCTCCTTCGTGACCGCGTACAAGCTTCCGGGGATCCTGCGCTGGTTTGAGGTGGTCCACATGTCCCAGGTGAGTCTCCGGGCCTTAGGGTGCACCTCTCCCAGTCCCAGGAGCTTTGGTTTGAAGCCACCGTGGGAGTCCTGAAATTCCAGTGCAGGAAGGGACCTGAGGCAGCATCCAAATTAGCTGCTTTCAGATCTTCCTTAAGCATCAGGTGACTTTCTTCCCTCACAAATGAAACCTGATGCAATGCAAACTGGTGAATGGGGAGCTCCTGTGGTGGATGCAGGGGGAGGTAGAGGCCTAGAACTCTCTCCACGCAACCACCCCGAATATCCTCCTTGTCCCAGCAGCCCCTGAGGTTGCATGTGCAGAATCCCACAATGAACCCATTTTACAGCTGGATAAAATGAGGCTCACAGAGAAGAAATCCCACAGAAGCCAGGCTAATTTTTGAACTCCCTTATGCAAATTGCATGTATTCTACTTCTCAATGCACTTTAGGGTCTTCACATCCTCATCTAAGAATCTTTTTGCTCCCACAGGGGGTCAGAGTAGTGGTGAGGAAACCTGAAACGTAGGCACATATTCAGGATGTCTTATTCATTCAACAAATTTTTGAACACAAGCCAGGCACTGTTCTAAGACCTGAAGACTTTGCCACGAAGCTTACATTTTAGTGCAGGAGACAGACTAAAACATCAAGGTCAATATATTCTGTGTCAAATGGTGATAGCCATTATGGAGAAACGTGGAAGAGAGAGATGATGGAGGGATTGCTATTTAAATCGAGTGGCCAGAGAAAGCCTGGAGGGAGTCAGGGAGTGGCCCATGGACTTTCCAGCAGAGGGAATGGCAGTGCAAAGGCCCTGGGGCCAGTGCATGCTTGTGTCTGGGTCAGCACCAGAGAGGGCTGAGGAGGAGGAGGAGGGGAATACCAGATCATGTAGGACTTCACAGGCCACCGCCAGGACTTTGGCTTTCCTACTGAATGACCTGGAACCGTGAGCAGAGGAGGGACGTGATCTGATTGGTACTTTCCAGCTACTTGTGTGATCAGCATTAGGACCACCCAAACCCAGCAGTCCAGTGGCCCTCTGGTCTCCTCTTCACAGGCATAGCCTGGACCTTGGGGGAAATAGAATGATGATGATATCAGCAACCATTCATTGAGATGTGCTAAACCGTTGACACGCATGAGCTCATTTAACCCCTCCACAACGCTGAGAGATAAATGCTACCATTCCTCCCATTTTACAGATGAAGAAACTGAGGTGATGAGTGAGTTAGTGGTTTGTTCAAGGTTAGGAAGTAAGGCAGGGTTTGACCTCAACCTCAGTTTCCTGGGCTGGATTCACTCTCTCCTCCTTCCTCAGCATGTCCCATACCACCCCAGCAATAAGGAGAGCCCTGGAAAGGTAGAAACCATCTGTGCTCTTCCTCGTGGGGCAGACCGACACAGGCGAAGCTTGACGAGTGGCTCAGGCCCTGTGTCAGGCTTTATCGCATTATCCCACGAATACAAAACCCTGCGAAGTACATACTATTATTAATCCCATATCTGGAGTGAAGAATGTGAAACTCTCTGCCAATCTGTAGCTGCCACCCCATGACCCTGATGTGCCTTTTCCTCCAGTGGCACTCAGCAGGGTGCCCCCTGTCCTTCAATGACCCCATTAGACTGTGGGCCAGGGAGGGAGCCCTGTGGCACCCCCATTCTCCTCCCACCTGACTTTCTCCTCAAAGCACCTGCCGCCTCCTAACAGACCATCTAATGTGGCTGCATGTTGATTTTAATATCTAGAATATTACATATAATATTACATATAATAGCACTTAGACCCTATGAGGATCTAAGTGCTACACTAACATAAGTTCCAGGAAGCCAGATTTTGGTCTATTTTGTTCCCTGCCATATTGCTCACTGCAAAGACTAGTCCCAGGCCCGTAACTGCTGCTCAAGAATCTTGGTTAAGAAAACCTATACCCATCAATCAGTATGCAGACGCCGTCACGTCTGAACCGGGTTCCTTGTCTTACGGACTCAGGAGTCAGGAAAGGATTGGTCAACATTTCTGTTTCGCTCCTTTTATCCTGATGGCTTCTGATGGGAAGGTTTAGGAAAACTTCCAAAACGTTGACCGGAGTGGATTTATCTGTAGCAGCCTCCCGGCTGAGTGAGCCCGAGTGTCAGCACGTCTCAGACGCCAGCTTCCTGCCCGCTGAGCGAGTGCGTTTCCCTGCATTGGCGTTTGCGTTCCCCGAATTGATGTCTTGTCGGCTGTTTCTTCCGTGAATCGTCATGACGACAGGACTGTTTGTACAGAGAGGTGTTTTCTGATGGGATTCGAGTGTGGGTTCTGCTTACGGAGGGTTCTTTCTTGCTCTCGGCCCCACGAACATGCCCCCTTCACAGCAAGCCTTGACCTGGGGTCAGGAACACAAATGCAACACGGCAGTTAACAAGCTGCATGTTTTTGGACAAACACAGTGTGTCTCAGGGCCTTCATTTCCATCATCTGTAAAACGGAGACTGAAAACCTATGAATGTCAGAGCGGAAAGCCACCCAGGGGTCATTCAGTCATGAGCTACAAGTTCAAAAACCTTCATGGCCCAGGAGAAAAATGCCAATAGGTGAGATAGTCCTATTCCAACAGCAGGGGCTGGTGATGCGGCGGCAGCCCCTCTCCAGCTGAAGTCAGTTTTACAATTAGACCTCCCGTGCCGTCTGCAAGAACCTCGCCAGGCCCAGCCTGGCCTGCAGATCCTGGTTCTTGTCCATCCCACTACTTTACACGAGAGGAAACTGAGGCCCAAAGGTGGGACTTGAGCTGCCGAGTGATCAGGGGCAGAAGTAGGATGTGATGGCGTTGCCTGTCTCATGCAGCGCCTGGGGTCCTAAGAGGGTCTGATTTAAGAAGGGGATGTGGGTGACACGCCTCTGAAGAATGGGAAACACCCCGATGACAGGGAATTGGTGTCCCTTCGTCCTTGGCTGATGCTCCCACGTCCCGGGTCTAAAACTGTTTCCGAAGAGTGTCCCTCTGATAGGTCAGTCTCCCCTCCAGCAGGGGGGGGGGCAAGGTGACCGAGCACTGCACACTCGGTCACACGGATGTCGGGGGTGAGAAGCCAGAGGCACCGTCACCCTCACTCCCTGCTCCCAAGGTTTAATTGAGTTTGAAGATGGGCCGGGGGGTGGGGGGGAATCAAAAGTCGCTTGAGAAATGGGGCGGAAAGCCAATCAACAGGACTCCCCATGGTTAATAACTCTCCCTCACATCTTCGTCTCTCAGACGCGCCAGGCTATTGTGAGATCGGGGTGCGGTGCTGGGCCCTCCCCGCATGGTTGTGACAGATTTTCCCTGGAGCCCAGTCTGGACGGGGCTTCCACAGCCCCTGCAGGGGTGCAGCCTCGCTGAGCGGGCACATAGCGTCCTGCTCCAGCTCACGTGTGTGTGTGTGTGTGTGTGTGTGTGTGTGTGTGTGTGTGACAGAAAGAGGTAGTGCCAGTGACAGAACCTGGTCCCAGGGCCGCCTTGCTGCAGACAGCACCATCTTTAAAAATGACAACAAATGAAGAAAGGTGTGGGAGGCTGGGATTTCACCGAGATTTAAGGAAATGGTTTAAAAAGATGTCCCAGACGGCTCTAGAGGTTGGATCTGCCCTTCCCACATGCCCCATGGCCATAATACCTACAGCGACATTTTTTGAAGAATTCTGCTGAGTCGAGGGTCATATTACCTCCCCTGGTCTTTGCTACAGACTCAGGGAGGCACCGCCCCTGCCAGGGAGTCTCCCTGGTGAGGACCACTGCTGCTCTCTGTCCTCGCGCCTACGAGAAGGAGGAGCAGTAGCTACCAGCTATTCTCGAGCAGGTTTCATCAGCCTCGTTTTACCAATGAGTCCACTAAGGCTCAGAAGGGCTAGGAAACTTCCTCAGGGTCACACAGCTGGAAAACAGCCAGCAGGGCTGAGGGCTGCACTCACTGTAGCCCAGGGCGAGCGCACGGGGGCCTGTGGGAGACCCCACCTGCCACCTGTTGTTGTGAGTTGTTTTATTGGAACAACCAGCACATTAATTTTCCTGTTGCCTGGAGCTGCCTTTTCCTACAGTAACAGAGTCGACTGGTTGCGACAGAGAATGTCTGGCTTGCAGATGTCTGGGTCTTTTATGGAAAGGTTTGCAGCCCCTCGCTCAGTTTTTCCCTCCAGATTCCGTGCTCTTGAGATCCCTGACTGTACAGTTAGCATGTGACGGGTGTCTTGTTTATATCGCTTTCTAACGGGTGTTGGAGAGGCGATGAGTGTTATCTTCCCAACTAAACCGAATCCTCCTGGGGACAGAGACCCCTCGTACAACAACCGGTTTTAGGACTGACGCTGGGCCAAGCTGGGGCATCAGGCCTCCCGCTGCTCTGATCTGCCTGCTGCCAGCTCACACACAGTAGGTACACAAGCAATGCCAGATGGGTTGGATTACAGAGTGGTTCTCCCAGGTAATAAGAAGGAAGGGCTCCCTGGCGCACATCCAGCCTCTGAAACCCCAGCAAAGGCCTGGAGTCTCCTCAGCTCCCCAGGGAAATCCCTTCTCACAACACAGGACGCTGTCTCTCCCCAGACAGCAGACAGCCCAGAGCCACTAATTACAGGGCCGCTGCGGCCCCTCGAGGAGCATCGCCTCATTTGAATTCCAGCCCCCAGTGAAATCAATACCTACCGGCGAGTCTGTCTGTTTTTCTTTGTCTTTTTTTGTTTTTTTAATTTATTTCATTTTATTATTTATTTCAGAGAGGAAGGGAGCGGGAGAGAGAGATAGAAACATCAGGGATGAGGGAGAATCATTGATCGGCCTCCTGCACGCCCCACACTGGGGATCAAGCCCACACCCTGGCATGTGCCCTGACCAGGAATAGAACCCTGGCCTCCTGGTCCATAGGCCAAGATCTGTTTTTAAAGGTCCTGCTAAGGCCCCCTCTTTCTGCTGATCTCACTTGCAACAGACCACCATCAGCCCCCTGGAGAACGCCATCGAAACCATGTCCACGGCCAATGAGAAGATCCTGATGATGATCAATCAGTACCAGAGTGACGAGAGCCTCCCCATTAACCCGCTGTCCATGCTGCTCAACGGGATCGTGGACCCCGCCGTCATGGGAGGGTTCGCCAAGTACGAGAAGGTGAGGGCTCTGCTGTCCCGGCCCCCGTGGGGGTCAGAGCAGTGGCTGGGGGCCTGGGGGCAGACGCAGCTGCATGTCGCTCATCTTACTCTAGCCGTTTGCCCCTAAAGGGACCCCTCCGCCTGGTGGGAACCCATTCACCTCCCAGAGGCTCCACAGCCTCCCTCTCATCTCCTCCCACCCTCAGTGCCGCACTGTGCTGCGGACAGAAGGGGCAGGGCTCACAGGGCCCCTTAGGCCACTGGTCACATCCAGGCGCCTCAGCCAAGGAAGGGCTCTGAGAGGACCAGGTGACCGTAAGCCAGGCCACTGAAGTGGAGGAGCATGAATCCAAGTCCGTGACTGCAAATATCTTCTAAAAGAGAAAGAAATGAAACCCAGAATCTGTGACAATACAGACAGGATGGAAGGTCAATTCCAAAAGGAGAATTGCAACTTAGATAGCCAGGCCCAAGGTCCCTCCAGAAACCCCCACACATGGGAGCCACAGATTTTTATTTTTTTGAGCTTCCTGGTGTCCAGAGCAAAAAGGGAAAAGCCATCAGATATATGAGTCACAGTATTCACTGGGGAAGAATACCAACTTCTCAGGAGGGGGACATAGCTTTTCCTGGCAATGAAATGGAATGGAGAGTCCTCACTTGATTGTCACACCTTACATTGTAGGAGACACTGGGGGGAAGTGGCCTCCTCCTTCTAGTGGACCTCACAGTGAACTCCCTAGTATCTTTCCATGCCATTCACTGATGTGAGACTAAGAATGCAACACAGTAATTTCATTCAGAGCAATTCCAGTTGCTAACCCGACAGTCCTTCCAGCCACCCTCAGTCCCCCATGGAGTCCCCACTGGCATGCCTTCGCTCAGCCTGGAGGGCTGCTGTGTGTGCCTGTGTGTGTGCACATATGGAGGGCGTGAACCCGGAGAGAGCTGGGGTGCCAGGTTCACACACCAGGAGGGAGGTGGTGAGGTGAGCTGCTCTCGAATGTAAACGTGAGTCAGATCCTTGCAGAGCTTTGTAACTAACCGGGGTGCCCCCCCCCACCCCTCCAAGTTCTGATTCAGTAGGTCTGGGTGGGGCCCAATAATTGCATCTCTGAGAAGTTCCTGGGTGATGGGTGATTTGCTGCTGCTGCTGCTGCTGCTGCTGCTGCTGCTGCTGATCCAGGGACCCCACTTTGAGAACCACACTCCTGGGGGTCTGTGGCCCATTCCCAGTGGGTGCTGACCTGAGCCTCCAAGAAGGGAAAACAGTGTCGGTCACTATAGGTCTCTGCCCCATCAATACTGTGGCCTTGCTGCTGGCCCTCTCCAGTGGAATCCTTTCTCGGCGCCGGGGAGATGGGTCAGGGGGCCCACACCAAGTGAACAGAAACCCCCAAACTCCCATCTGTCCCCCCCACAGGCCTTCTTCACGGAGGACTACACCAGGGACCATCCCGAGGACCAAGACAAGCTGAGCCGCCTCAAGGACCTGATCGCGTGGCAGGTAAAGCAGAGCTGACGGGAGCGCCCTGCCTCTGCCCTCCCAGCCCCTCCCGTACAGGGGCCCTCAGCCAGCCGCTGCCTGGCCTGGCTGCACGTGTCCTCCTGTCCTCTGGCTTTCGGCCCTTCTTCTGACGCTATATCTCACCCGAGCAGGCCCCCTCAGAACCTGGATTTGGGCCACCGCACCCCTGGGGTGCTGCACGGGGACTGGGCGAGGACGTCGCGCTGCCTGTCGCTAAGACTGCTTTATGGGCTCTTGAATTCAGGGGCAGCTTCTCCCAGCGGGACTGAAATAAAAGGCAGGCCCCCCACACCCACCGCCACCTTCCCCCGCAGCTGGCACATGGCAATCAGATAAAAGAGGCTCCGCCCCGCACCCCCTCCTGAGGCTGACCCAGTCTGTTGCAGATAATGCTCAGATGGACATCAGGTTTGGGGAATAACTGAGGCCTTTGCTTGGTTTTCGGTCAAAGGGCCTTCATTCTGCACAAGCTGCTTACCCTCCAGAGCCCAGCCAGGGGACTGGGAAGGCGCGTCCTCCACTCACTGCCTGCCCGCCCTGCAGTCCCCTCCCCTCCCCTGGGGCCCTTCTGCCCCGCACCTCTACCTGCCTCCACTCTGCCTCCTCTGACTCTCTTTCTGTGCGCTCGCTCGCTCGCTCTCGCTCTCTCTCTTTCTCTCTCTCTCTCTCTTCCTCTTTCAGAGGTTCTGTGCTTCTGTCCCTCCCCACTCCATCTTTTACCTCCTCTGCACCCCCATCTTACTCCTCTCTCTGCACCCCATCTTACTCCTCTCTCTGCACCCCATCTTACTCCTCTCCACCCCCATCTTACTCCTTTCTCTTCTTCCTCTCCACCTGCTCCCCTCCTTTCTCTTTCTCCTGGGTTTTCTCTCCCTTCTCTCTCCCCGCCCCCGCCCCCCCCCCCAGAAAAGGAACAATCCACCAGACACTCCCCCAACACACACTTTAAAGGACCAGGCTCCTCCAGGCCTGATGCACCCCCCCCCC